ATAAACACAAACGATTGTCGTCATTTGGAAAGTGTTATAGACACGATCCCGACCAACAATCAACTATCTCTATCTCAACAACTTTTAACTCGATTAGAACAATTAAAGACACTGTTAACAACACCAAGTAAAGATGACAAACAAATATGGCTACAATTTCTTTCTATCTGGCGCGAAATTCTTCAAAACCCATTGTCGGTTGTTGAATCATGTTACATAGAATCTGCTCAATTTTTAACACACCTATTAACGTTGATCGATTTTGATTCTATTATAAAAGAAAAATCCACAGCTAGCGAGAGCAATTTTACATGTATCATGCTGTTGAATCAATCACACTTCAAGAATTACCTTCTGCTAACGAAGGAAGAACAAATGTTACCAGGCAATAGAATATACTATGTTCATATTTATTTTCTTTTACTAATAGCCTCATATTCAATTTTCTTTGCTTCATCAGCTACAATTGATGATCGACAATATATTGAAAACTATATTGATCTTTTTACTCTACTTATTGATCATATAGATCGAAGTATGCCTGAGCATTCTCAAAGAATCATGAAGCAAGAGTATGGATTAGGTGATATTAATGAAGGTATTCTTAAGTTGCTCTGGAATGTAGCAGATCAAACAGTGCTTGTTCCGACACTGCTCAAATGTGGTCTTGCAAAAAAAGTAGTCGCCTGGCTTGCTCAATCGACTAAATTGACAGATAAAAGTCGACGACCACTGATCAGTATTGTTCATAATATAGCACGACATGATGACGGCGCCGATGAACTCAACAATTATGGAGCTATTGATGTTATAAAACAATATCAGAAGACGTGAGTTCACTTTGAGTGTCGATCTTACATTTTCTGTCTGTGAAGTAATGGAAAAAAGTTTAAGCACAACATTTTTTCTTTTTGTTTTGTTCAAAGACCTGAGTTAAAAATATCTGTCACAAAGTAAGGTTTTATTAGTTTTCTAGCGGAGAAAAGTTTAAAAACAACTAAAATAAGCTCATATTTTATCACGTCAATTCTGATATCTGTCGGATAACCTATATGGTTTTCATAATTACATCACACAAAGTTTGTGTTAAAATAGAAGATTGCAAAAAGCACACCAAATTACATCTAATAGGATAGTTTAAGTTTTAATAAAAGTTTTTTCACTATTGACTGTGATAAAATTTTCATTTATAGTGACATCAGGTGGTTGTGCTACTTGGACTATTCGTATCAATTTTGAAACCTTGTAATTGTCTTTCTAGTTGAGTCTGATAATGCAAAAGGTTCTCGACCAAATAATGTACCTTAAGGCTATCAAATACGTGAACCCAACAATATAAATTTAATCAATCTTTTAGACCCAAAACTCGTATTAGGTTGGCGTATTTGACAACCTCTAAAATCATTATTTTCTAGAAAATTGTTTGTTTTAACTATGAAAACCATATAAAGTATTTTATAGATGTCGAAATTTTAGCTTTTAAAGTACTCTTAGATGAAGATTTCTTAAAGGAAATTTACCTTTTACTTCTTGATGGATCATTTTTGACTCACTCATACTGAATGACATTAAAGATGATTTTTCTAGAATTGTTGTATTTTCAATATAAACTCGTAATTAATAATATCTTCATGCTAAACTCTTTTGTAGAATCTAATAGTCATTTAAAAACCAAATCGGCAGTCACTTCTTAAATAACTATATTCCATACTATAGAAATAAACGGAATACTAACAGTTTTGGAACTGAAACTCATTATGTCCGTCCGAACAATTCGTCTTTCCCAATGTTCAACTATATATCATCCTCAAAATGGCTCGTTTTGAAGAAAATATTCATGCTAGGTAACAAAATGGCTAGATATCATGAAAAAAAATCAGATTAACAAATAACTTCAAATTTTCATGCTATTCAAACTGAAAGGCCATTTTTGATCCATTCTACATCGCAACAGTAAAATGACTTCCTTCAAATTTAACTATATCAGTTTCATATTAAGCAGTGATACAGGTGATTCTCGTAATCTATTTGACATTAGCGCTGCTAGATTAATAACAGGAGTTAATGGTAATGTATTATGTTGGATACGTTTTGCTCTTTCAGAAAATGTTTCTAATAACAGAATTATGGCTTGCCATATTGAATAAAGCATGATAATGCATGAGTTCATCTTATTTGTTGCTAAAATTTGTTTTACCGCTTTATTTAGTGAACTTGAAAAGGGGGATTCACGAAGTCTGGTTGCTTCTATGGCTTTGGCCCTTCTTTCGACACCTGAACAACTGAAAACTGATAAGAAAGGCATGAATACTGTGCTAAATCAACTGCTACAACTAGTCATGAATGCTGCTAAAGGTGACACATATCGACATGATGGATTTCATGTTAGTGAACCGTTGGCAGTCATGGTGAAAATGTTCGTCGTCGAAGAACGTACACTTGACTATGTACTATGTCATGCCGAAACAGAACCTTCATCAGATATGTTTTCAACCATTAATATCTTCGTTTCGTTACTATTCGATTTTTCTCAAGCATTAAAAGGAGACAATCGGCTTGAACAATTTACACTTATTGCCATATTCAATATTCTTTGGAGTATATCATTTCAACCAAACTATGCACAAGAATTAATGAAAAATCAAAAATTAATAGAAACAATCAAACATTTCATAGATGAGAATTATGAACAAAAAATTTTAGAACAATACAAGCCACGTTCAATGGAAGGTATCAAAGAAGCAGCTCATGGTATTCTTCATAATCTTAACATAGATAACCAAATCGAGACGACATTCAATAAGCAAATGACTGTTGTTGATGCTCTTGTATCAAATTCATTGAAAGTGTACGAAAAAAAAGTTTTTTTTTTAAACATTACTACAGGAGTATTATTGTTTGGTATTCTAGTATAAGTAGCAAACCATGGATTATGATAAGTTATTGTCATGATAACAACACTTTTTGTGATAAAATCCTCAGTTTCCTATCCCAACGCAATGATACCTTTGACATATGGATCGATCGAACTCACTGTCAAACAGCACATGATTTATGGGAGTCGATTGCTGAAGGAATGGAACAAGCATGTGTCATTGTATGTCTTGTTTCAACTCAATATTTTGAAAGTAAATCATGTCGTAAAGAATTCATATACGCAGCTGATACACTCAAGAAAACAATTGTACCTGTTTTGCTCGAGAATTTTAAACCTAAAGGATGGCTTGGTAAGTAATGAAATTATTTTATTATCATTTTCTATTTTCATATGCTAGGCATTCGCATACCTGATATGAAGTATGTTCGTTTTCGAGATCTTCTTCAACCTGAGCAAGCTAAGATGGTTGAGTTGTTGAACACAATTCTTGTGTCACTCTCAGCATCAACAACAATGGTCCATGAGAATCTTCCACCATTATCTCAACATCATATTATACCATTATCTGTTACTGCAACCACTGAAGAAACGACTGCATTTCGTCCATTTGATCAATGGACATCAACCGGTAATGATATTCCTGCATGGTTTACACATCATCGAATATCGAGTAAACTTCGTGATTTATTCGAATTTCAAACAGGCAAAGAAATGCTTGACTATGCTGAATTGCTCATTAAAGATCGTGAAAAGCAGATGAATATATATGCAAAAATATTTTCTGAGAAATACAATGGTAGTGAAATGCCTCCACACGAGTTTTATCGATTTGCCACAGCTATGGAACAATTACTGAATGATAATCGTTCTAGTTTGTCTTCTACCAACAGAAATGCGTCAATACCAATTAAATCGAGGAGCTGCATTATTTTGTAAAAATTTGAAATAAGTATCTGTGCACAGTTTTAGTTATATGCTAAATTTAAACATACGATGTGAACAATCGAAGAGCTTAAAGAAATCAAACTATCATATCTCAAAAAGATATTTTCTAATCAAATGTTGGTATAATAACAATCTTATGCTTGATTATTATTTCTCGATCTTATTCTAATTTTGTAATTTGATTAACAATAAAGATATCTATATTGAGCTTGTTGTCTATAGATTTTGTTTCTATAGAGTAGTTTTTATGTGTTGAGGTTGCTCGATGAATTATCTTAGATAATTGATAGTGAACTTTGAGTTTGTGAACAATTTGATGATAGATAAAGGAATCAGTGACGAAATTTTTGCTCTTTGTTACTATAGGTTGCATCAATAAATGAGGCATAAGAATGTTTTAAATCAATTGTTTCTAAGGCGATAGAAACTAAAAATTTTCATAATAGTCAACCAGTTTACACACTTTTCGAGGTGATTGGTGACCTGACACGAAGGTCATAACTACTTAAAGTCTGTTCTAAGCAAACCGACATTCGTTTTGCACCAACTCATAAATGCAGCTAAAGTTTTGATTTCAACTTATACAAACTATTTGCATTGACTTTTCTCAATATACAATCAATACAATTATCTAATACCTATGATGGTGTGGAGTCAAATGGATATGTTGGTTAAGAAAATTGTTGCAAAGCATGGACCATATCGTCATTGTTTTCCAGCATAGAGTCATTTCAACAACTTTGTGTCATGAATAATACTCTTCTCAAAATCGTTCAGTTACTTTGTAGAGGAGAAAAAGTATGCTGTTGTGTGAGTTAACCATATTTTTACTTGCTCACTCACTAAATAGAATCATCATCTGGAAAGCTTCAGATCATACCATTGCTTTTCTCTATAGAATTAAATATAATCAATTTTTGACAACTCTTAGACTAAAAACATTTTAGATTTCTTATTTTATACCTAAATGTTATTTGTTTTCTGGAAAGGACATCATTAATGAGAAATTTACGGTTTTTTTTTATGATAGAAAGCTTTGAGAACATCAACAACTTTTTGTCTCTGACATGATGTTGAATTGTTGAATTCGATGATTTCTTTTCTCAATTATAAATAAATTTCCTTCCTTGTCTAATCCTATGCTATAAACATCTTTGAATGAGCCAGCATCGGTACCTCATGCATTTGCATCAGTCAATTGCACGCCTTCAGTTGCACCCAGAGCCCATTTCATAAATCGACTATTGTCAGTATCGGCAACAAAAATGTTGCCATATCGAGCAACTTCAACATCCCAGGAGCTATTCAATTGATTAGCAGCTGCATCTTTTTCATTTCCACCTGCCACAGTAATACCTTCACTTGCGCTTTTCTTCCATTTTTGTACTCGGTTATTCCATAAATCAGCGACGTAGATCGTCTCGCATTGATCAATAAAGATATCACGTGAACCATTTAGCTGATTTGCTGCTGTTCCGCTAACACTGATGTCCGCTACGATGACACCTTCGACTTTTTCGGGAATCCATTTAACAATTCGATCATTGCAAAAGTTCGACATAAACAATGCATTGGTTTCTTCATGAACAAAAACACTCTGACCAGCACCTATCTGATTCAGACCTTTGCCTTTATCATTTTTCCCAGCTACGATTACACCACTAGCCGCACCTCTTGCCCACATTTGAATGCGATTTTTATTGGTATCCGCTGCATACACATTTTTGTTTTTATCAATATAAACAGCCCAAGGCATATATAATTGATCGAATCCACTACCAGGACCATGGCTGCCTGCAACAGTGATGCCCATACTGCCGACGGCTTTGAGATTAAACTTCTGAACTCGATGGTTTCCAGTATCAGCAACATAAACATTATTACGTTCACCATCAACAAATAAGTCGAATGGTGAGCCTAAATGGAAGGCATCAGATCAGAATTTTCGGTCAATACTAACAATAGAAATTCCTTGTTCTGACCATTCAGCCGTTGCACAGCAATTGTTTTGGTTTCCATGATCACAATTGATTGTAGTCAAACAGAAATAAGAGTCATCAACGAAATACATCATACACAATTCCAATGATCTATTTCAACATTGAAAGCGAAATAAGCTACTTGATTTAAGATACGAATCAGTGCAAAAATGACATACGTTTATGAGTGTCTCAATCGCAAACTTGAATTTGCTGATTCTAAACTGACCCAGTTGGGCATTGCATCAAATAAGGTAGAAGGAATAGTTATCGTGTGGATTAGCAAAGTGAATATCGCTTGGACATTGAAAACCATTAGTAATTGAATATAATGATACAAAGATAAACACAAATATTAACTTCATTAGTATGATTGAATTGTGTTACCTAAACAAAACAAAAAAAGCAAGGTCAATTCCTTTTTTTATTCTTGTCATGAAATCCACTCGACACCGAATAGGTACTTTACTTCTCACATAACCAAATTAAGCCTAACGATGACTTGAATGCATTTTTTGTGAAACATGACCTGAAAGGAGTGTTGAAGTGTATAGGGTAGAAATTTTGCACCCCCCCCCCCCCCCCCCCCCCTTACAGACCGTGACAGAGAATCTCCGGTACCCATCTATGAAAAATCATTTGATATTCGAAAACAATCTGTTTCATCTAACGATCTTCACTTAGTTTCTATTTACAATAACATGCCTGTTGTATATGATTCGATGGCAGATTACCAGATTTCACTTTCATTTTATGAAAAAACGCTTGAGATCAAGCACAAATCTCTTCTTCTGAATCGTCCATCATTGGCTGTTGTCTATAATAACATTGACCAAGTTTACCGATCGATGGGAAATTACCTAACAGCACTCGCATATTATGAAAAAAGACTCCAAATTCAAGTGAATTCTTTTCAACCTAATGATTTAAATACTGCCGATACTTACAAAAAAATTGGGTTAATTCATGACTTGATGAAAGATTATTCGGTAGCACGCTCATACTACAAGAAAGCATACGAAATCCAAGAAAAACACCTTTTATCTGATGATCGTAAGCTTGTAGACACTAATGAAATAGAATTGCCCTACAATTATTAAAAGAATAAACTAACGAACTAGTTCAACGCTTGATTGTGACTGTTAATGTTGATGAGAACTCGCTTGATCACAACTCGTATTGGATTTGTTTAGGTCCTGTATTCTCAATGAGTTTTGCATAAAATAGAAGAAAACTAACAAAAATTGGTTTTTCTACAATGATTCTGCATATATCTCATTGAATAAGACTGCGTGCTTTTGCTTGAGCTGCATGAAAATTAGTGAATACAGACTAATAAAAGAAAACCAATAGTACTTTGTTTGAGGGCTATCTAAGGAGATAGAATAGTGACAGAAGAGTTGAACATGTATACGATAACATCCGCAGAGAAATCGATGATAGTATGAGGGTCGATGAAGAAATTAATCTCATTTACATGCACGTCATCATCCATTAGAACATCATTTACATATTGATCTGATTATGTGCATTCTGTTAAAGGTATTTTATTGCAATGATTCGATTGAATATATACAGGTTTTCCAGATTGATTCCACGATTTATGCATATCAAAAAGATGATTCAAAAACTAAGTTCGAAAACTCTTAATATTCCGACTTACGAGAGAACTTTTTTAGGTTTCTCCCGTCCAATTCCAATGATGCTTTTGCCAATAAATATTGTTTCGTGTTCTAGTAAAAACCCTTAAAGAATTTGGGTTTTTATCACTTTCTTGAAAAGTTATGAACATTATAATTTCGCTTCTATAGTGCACAACATACAGTATTATTTTTGGTATCATAATAGAAATTTTACTTCTCATTAAATAAAAGTAAAATCCATATGTAATGTTTCATGGACAATTTTCAGTTGTTATCTAGGAGAACAATAAGAACAATTTGAAACAAACTTTATGAATCAGTTTGTCTTGGTGTGCGTAGAGGAAATTTCCAAAACTTGAGGAATAACAAGTTGATAAGTCTAAAAACAAACTAATGGATGAATTTTCCTCTTGATTTATTCTTTGTAATGTCCTTTTTTAATTTTTCGGTTTCATTTTTTATGAGTTACAAATTACAAAATCAACAAAACACCTAAGTTAGTGAATAAGAAGAAAATTTTGATTAATTGTGGAAGAATATGTCATCGGAATCACCTAGAATATAAATTATAATGATTGCTCAATTTTCTTTTTCTTTCGACTTACTGTAGTTGATCACTTCTGCATCTTCCTCAATGTTTGCATTTTGGAGAGTAGTCTTGCAACGAAGAATACCTATGGGAAGAAAAAACAAGGTAAAGAAAATACGTCAAATCATAGCGAACCTCCAATGCCATCAAAATCATGCACAAATTGAGAACCTTCTTGACTCTTATCGGTCACAATTTCAAGTGTGGTGTCTAATACAAAAGATGAATATCAGATTTATCATCCATTATCTTTTACCGAATTTCTTGTGATTCTTGACCAACCATTCGAGTAATGGCATTTCTTCAATATGTTCCCATTCAAAATCTGTTTGTTTGTCTTGATGAACAACACATGAACTTTTCGTTTTTATTTCTTGCACTTGACGTTGGCGTAGAAAATAATGATTCACATCGACATTTTCCCATATAATTAAAGTTTCTATAGAGCCCATATCCAGTGCTTTGAATGTATCATAGACACCAAAACAATAATGACTACCGTCTTTGAATACTTCATTGAAGTACCGAGCTAAATTAATGAAAAAAATCAAACAAATAGAGTTTAATTTCATTTTATGAATCAAACTTACCAAGGACTTTTTTCTCATGTATGAATTTGATATTGTCACGTAATTCAATAGTCGAATCAATGGCTTGATTAAAACCATCTTCACCATCATAAGAAATGACTACATGTCGAAGAATTGTTTCTGGAACACACTACAAAATATCTCCTTTGCTCATAATCATTATCACAATAAAAGAACAACTAACAGAACCAAATATATCCAGTTGTTGAATTCCATTTATGAACGATTCTACAGTGGCAAGAATAACACCTGTCACGTTGGCTTTGCCATCCGTAATAAAACATTGTCGTGCCATTTCTGATATTTTTTGTACATATTTCTGCTGTTTTTCTCTGCTAAGTCGAGCATATCGAATGTCTCGTGAACAACCAGATCCGCATTTTGTTGGTAAGTCAGCCGAAATTCTTGCAATTAAATCGCGAGAATTACCATGCAATATTCCAAACAAAGCTTCATTTCTACCCACGACAATAAAGCCAAATCGAGAAATATTGGTCAGTAATGGTTGTAAAGAAGCCTGCAAAAAAAGTTCTTAGGATTACAGAAGATTGTCAGTTCACACATATTCTGCTATCGAAACCTTATGATATACTAGAGTACTTGAATTAGAACTAACACTCCTCATAAATAATTTCTTAGATATTTTACGCGAACCTGTAATGATGGAAAAGTATAAGCTTTCCGTAATTCGTTTCTTTCATTAGTCTATAAAAATAAATGGGTACAAAAAAAGCGAAAAAGAAACTACTTGATCACACTTCATAATCTGCCATCGACTTTTAGTTAGACAACGTTTTCACGACAAACAATACTTTACGTGAGTTGAAATCCAATTATAATTCCTATAAATTCAATCTGGCAAACGTATATAGACATTTCACATTGATAAAAAAACAAATGTGTATTCAAACAAAAACTAACGACATAAATAGGCAATGTTGTGCAATTCTCTGGTTTTTATGATGCAATGTTTCAACGTTCAATATAAGTCAATTTTGAGTCTTGAGCAAGAATTATGGGCCTACTTTCTAGCGAAGTCAACATGTACAAAACCTATCAATTATCCTTAATTTTTCTCGATATAAAGAATTAATGTCATGGTTGATTAGTCATTTGTTATATCGATCGCAAGGGGTCGCTGTCGGCTGATCACATGTCTACGTAATTGGGTGAGTGTAGATACCAATTTTCTTCTCACCCATTCTTCCATAACGAGACCTAAGACTTCCCACAGCACCGAAGGTAATGATGAATACAATGTTTTTTTAAATGAATACATAGCTGTTCAGTTGTATGCATTGTATGCGTAAAGGCAGACAATAAAGTATCACTAAGTCACTGAATGCATGAGTATTTGTCTTGAATAAAAAAAATGATTACTTGTTTATACGTATCCGTAATATATTGCAATAAAGTCTTTTTTGACTCATTTTAGTGCTCTTTTTGGATCGCTCGTGTTTGTAATCATTAATTGGTTGCATCATTATCTATATATTCTCAGTGAGTTGAAATATAGTGATAAATTACGAAATCAAGACTCTATCGTCACTGTGGCATATATGAGACAAATATCTAAGTTTTATTGAATTTGATGATTATTCAGTCACCAGTATCATGCATAGTATGTATCCAACCAAATCTATGAGAAATATCAGACAAAAACAACCCTTTTCAAAGTAACTTATCAAAGAAGTCTATACATGCCGTATAAAATTTTAGTAAAATTTTCGTGTATTTATATGCTAAACTATCCATTTAGAAAAGTTTTGAAGGGTGTGGATGTAAATTTGAATATATTTTACATCTACATCCATCTATCCGTTGAATGAAAATAAGAATTATTCATAAGTCAATTGTTACTGGTCGAATTATTGAAGCTTGATGCATTTATGCTCGTGTATTATTAACTAAGATGCCTATCTAGATTAGGTTTTCGTTTTATTTTCAGTAGTGTCATCATTGCCGACTTGTCAGCCTTCTTTTTTCTGTTGGGAGATTTTTGTTGAATACGACTTGAGAAAAAAATAATGTCTCAAGTTCAAACAAAGAACATAACTATCAAGGAAAAATTTAATGAATTATACCCCAATGCACTTTTTGGTCATGAACATGAATAAAAAAGTGAACACAGATTAACTCACATATTACTAAGAGCTGTCTTTTTTCTTGTATCTATCTTTCTCTCTTATTTGATTTTTTTGTTAACGAAAGAGATGTTTCCTTTTGCCACTCGTTGTTTCTTCATTCCTTTGCTCTTTTCTATTACATAAGTTTCATAAGGTCACTTCATTTGGTGTCTTTCACTGAACAAAATGATATAGACTAATCCTTTTCAATTGAGTGTCAAACAATAGAAGTATTGCAGATAGTGTCTAGAATTACAAGTATGTATTGTACTTGATAACAATATTTCAATGTATGGGTCTCGCATCAGAAAAATATTTATGCGTATTGTCGAGCCCTTAGGGAGATGAAAGAAATGATCCTATTGGACATGAATTTATTTGGAGTGTTGTATAAATTATAATAAAAATACTCGAAATTTATCGAAATTGTTTTTGCTAACTGAACTATTTTTATTTGCTTCTGTTTGTTACATTACTGAGGAATATGCATAAATACAGCTTTTCTATCTTCGTAGCTTTAATCGTTTCTTTAAGGAACATCAACGAAATGAAAAGATCAAAAGAGGAGAGAAACTGGATACGAAACAAAGAAACATCTGCTTCGTCAATAGAATGATTGAAAAATTAAAATAAAAGGGAATAAGGTTCATTCTCTGTTCATTAACATTTTAACACTAAATATACCTTTCATATAAACTTATTAAGGAAACCACCATAAACATGATATCTGGAAGCAATTGAACTATCTTATTTCTAAAAGGGTTCTACTTTCTTTTTTTTTCAGAATTCATAATGACAATAGATAGTATCTATGAACTGTCTCGTCTTTCTCCAAAATAATGATTATTTTTGAAAAAAAAAGAAAAGTAGATCATACTTACAAAATGAAATAAAGTCGACTGAAAGAAATGAAAAAATCAACATTAATGGTAAATTCATTATAAAACCTTGAAACTAATACACTATATGAGTGTGTATTGATACGTACAAAAAGACCGCATCCCCACCGTTCGATTCTATTTTTTGTTTGTAAGATATTCTTTTCTTTGTCAAAGACTAATGCAACGAAACTCGATTGAAATAGGATTCATTCAAAAGATATTAAATCAGGTGAAATGTCAAATACAGATTAAATCAATTACAATTGTCATCACATAGATATTGATCTAGCAATTAAAGTGTGAGTGTCTTCTACACATCCTCACTTAAGTTCATTATTTTTTTTTATGCATTTTGAATTTTCACTGTTATTTTGAAAAAAATGTCACATATACTTGATATTCGTTACCAACTTATTTTTTTCTTTCATTAAGTTAAGTGTAGTTATATTTCATGAGAAGAATCACATCGAGATCCATATCCAATAACATCTTGTTATGATGGTGTGTGAGTAAAGCAAAAACTCACTGATACGCTCAAACTATAATTAGATCGACAGATTATAATTTGCTAAGCAAAAAAAGAAGGAAGATTAAATTGTTTTTAAGCGCGATAATTTTCTTTGTCATTCATTATATCATCCTAATATTATAATAATGTATCGTAGATTTGAAAAGTTATCGATCCGTTGTGTAACAATTGATAAACGGTATGTTTCAATACTTGATAACTATTCTAACAACATGTGCGCAATATTTTTTAAACCAATTCATTTACACACACACACACACACTATCTTTGTCTTTTTTTGTTATATCTTAATCAACTATTGATGTTTTATTTTGTTTTCTTTTTTGAGGAAATGATATGATATTTATGACTAGAAAAAAATTGCTTTGTATGTCTAGCTCTAAAATAAGACAATTTTCTTCCTTTCTCTCATAAAAATGTGAACTATTCAAGATGCATAAAAAAAAAGATGAATAGTATGCTTCCGTTCTCTTCTTTGTATGAACTCTTCGTTATCCTGTTAACTTGGAACAGTACGTCATTTCCTTTCTGTTTTCTGCTTGGTTAAATAAACAAGAAAGTCTTCTTATTGATTGACATACAACAGGAGTTAATTAATGAGACGATTGTATCAGATAAATATCATGATCAACGATAACGATAGAATATTTTTTTTTCCCCATTTATTACACTGTATATTTGTATGATTACTTTTTAGTTATAACTTTCTCTTTTATACATTGAACAATAGGTAAATATTTTATTAAAATCGTAAATTGTATGTTCATACTTGCATCATTATATATATTTTCGACATGAACTCTTTGAAAAAAAAAACCTATCGTTAGATGAATCATTAGATTTGAAGAATTCTGATTAACCCCGAACATAGCAGAAGCATCAAATAGTTCAGAATTATTCGTTTTTTTTTGTCTAGATAGCAATTATTCATTGAATTTCAAACTTTCTAAAACTGAGACCTATGGATCAAATTAAACGAAAATTAACTTTTAATCAATTATCAAAAGAAGAAACAAAAAAATTACGAAGTAAATTATTTGAATAATACATATATATAGAGTTTTTTTTTTCGTATTTTCATATAAATAGATGAATTTAATCAATCAATAACTTGCATTGAAAATTTATCTAATGAATTTTTCTATGAAATATTTGATTATCTCGATGGTTATGATATATATACAGCATTTTCATATCTTAATCAACGTTTTCAAAAACTTCTCAATTCTTCATCACTTTTATTTAAAATTACACTTGATGATTCAATATATAATGAATCATATATAAGTAGTTATAAACAATATCTTCATCTTAATCGACATAAAATATTTTCTATTGATTTATGTTCAATAATAAAAAATAATTCTATCTCATGGCTTACCTTTGATTCATCATTAATGTGTCTCGAATCACTTTCTATTAGACAAAAACTAGATAATTTGATCTCAATTCTTCTTAATTTAGCTTATCTACCTCGTCTTTTCTATTTAACTATCGACATATCAAATAATTCTAAAAATATCAATGATATTTATCAATTGATATTTACCTTACCAATATTAAAATCACTCATAATTAGATCAGGTCATTATATCAAAATTTCACTACCAATGGTTACCAATCAACGATTGAGTACTATTGAATATCTTTCTATTGATCATTCTTGGACTTACAATGAACTTTTTTCTATTACGTCTTATACACCTCAACTTCGTCGTCTACAACTTTGTAATGCATATGATTTTCATAGAAATATTCAAACTATATTACCAAACAAATTATTAAAATTAACAGATATTTCGATACCTACGGATAGTTTAAAATTTCATGAATTTGAAATATATATTAGAAAAATAGATGCTAAATTAAAAGTTTTACGTGTTACTGTTCAATCTCAAGATATAACTTTTCTTAATGCTTATCGATGGGAAAAATTAATTTTAGAATCCTTTTCTCAATTGGAACAATTCTATTTACGATATATTGAATGGTTTGATAAAAAATATCAATATCCTGGAGGACCAAATCAATTCATTTCATCATTTTGGATTGAAAAAAAATGGATATTTGAAATTGAAATCAATCATGAATCTATTGATTACTCAATTCGGCCCTACAGGTACATGAAGAATATATTTTTTTAATATGAAATAGATTTTTTTTGTCCATTTTATTAGAAAAAGATGGTATGAAGATACACAAGATAAGAATTTTAATTCTTCTGTTGAATATTCGAAATCTGCTCGATTAATCATCACATTTATTGATAACCACGATTTTGAAGAAACTACGATAATGAGTATAACATACATTTTGACTGTAGCACAAATTTATCATTTGGAGATTTCAGAAGAAAATGTTCATGTTGGTGTATTAATTGGAGTTGTAAGTTTATTATCAGAACTTACTACATTAAAAATTCATTCTTTATCATTACATGTACCAAGAATGTTAAATTCTGAAGAAATTCATACATTGTCTTCAATAGAAGATACTAGTAAAGTTACAAAAGTATATCTTGAAATAATGTATAATATTGAAGATTTTTATTTTCTTTTGGAATTATGTCCTTATATGGAATATTGCAAAGTGAATTCTATAAAACGTATCGATTACAGATTTGTTCTACGATATATTTTCAAAAAAATTAAAGATGATTGTAATGATCATCTTCGTTTATTGTGTTTTCGTATTCCAACAGCAGATGATGAAATGATTAAAAAATTAAAAAGAATGATTAATTTTGAAAAACTTTTATTCAATTATACCATTAAACGTGTAGCTGATTATCTATATTTTCAATGGTAATAATTTCAAGATGTGTATTATTTATTCTAGTAAAATGTGTTTTGTTTTTATTTATCCAAATAAATGATCTTTTAGTTAACCAATTCCGTATTAACATATGATTTTTTTAAATTTCTCGACACCAATGATGAAGAAATTACATATTTTTTTTTTGAGTAAATTTCCAAGGGAATTCAAGAAAAAAAGATTAAGCCTTTAAGTTAGTCTTCGAACTCAACTCAGTAATAATACATCAGATTTCATTTATCATTCATGTTTCATTTATCTAGAATAGAGCACTTATCGAACTTAGCTAATCAAAAAGAAAACACTTATATTATATAAATGTAGTTAATATCAACGACAAATCAATGGTACCACAAAAATTATATCTGATTTACAGTGTTTTACAATTGTAAAGTCATTAATTACTGTTTTGATATTCGATACATACTGAAGACAAGTAACGTTCATCGTCAAACGATTCACTTAGCCCTAGACTGATAGAATACATGTACGGATGTAATAGCATAAAAAACTACATTAAAAAAGTAATACGCAAAATTGATAATATGACCAGTATATCTTAGGCGAGCAGAAAACTTAATTTGGAGAATTCTCACTCTAAGTAAAGATAATGCATTTTACAAATTTAATTTTTTTTGTCGTTTCTGTTTTATTTTTTTTTTGCTTTTATAAATATAAATAGCGCTCAATAAGATTAGACAAGAATGCGATTTTTTTGTAATTATATTGGCGCTATTTGTACGTACAAAAATATGAATTATATTATTCATAAAATTTGAGTTTTATTAATCAATATTTTATGCTTCAATTCGCGCATTAATTCTAAACTATTAATTCATTGATACAACATTGCACAATCAATCCTACAATAATGAATAATTTAAACGATTTCTTTAAATCCATACTGCTCATTTGGTCTGACTCT